GGTTCGGTTGGCACCAGTGAGGCTACACCTGAACGGGCTTCAAACCCAGACCTTGGCTCAGACCTTGAGTCCAGGGCCTCCTCGGTTCCCGACACGTCACTGGCCGAGTCGCCGTCTGCCGGAGCAGAGGAGGCAGCGGTGAAAAAGAACGCTCCGCCTGTAAATCCACGGAGGTGAGAGTTCAAGTCCGCAACAAAAACGTTCCTCAAAAACACAGGCACAAAGAAACAAAACACTTCCAGTTGCTGTAAGTGTAAATGTGAAAAACAGTGTGTATTCAGTCCCACTCTTCACCAGCAGGTGGTGATAGTGTGCAACGATGTTCATTTTGAGAGTCTTGTAACTTAGTTTTTGTCCTAAAGGATTCAAAGGAACCGTTTTAATGTCACGGCAGTTTAAGTCGATGAATCGTGAGAAATATTTTAGTCGAGTGATTTATTCGCTGTTTTTCTGTCTCTTAGAAGCTAGCAGAGTTCTGATAGGCTCTCAGCGTGGACATCAGACTTCAGGAACCACTGATTTTATTTTTTGTTCCCATTTGAATCAGTCGACTTTTGCGTTTTTTAATTTTAGTCATTTTTAAAAACTTTTTCATCCCAGAGGTCTCACTTCTCTGACATCTTGGCGCACACCGCCACCTACTGTTCTAGAGTGTGAAGTGTCCTGGTACGACCAGTGAGTTTTTGAGATAACGCAGCCTAGTCTAAGATCGGTTTTTAATCCATTCATCGGAATGGTGGTGTAGCGTTTTAAAGACTCGACGAACAGTGGGACAAAAGGAACAAACAGAGAAGTTGTTGTTTGTTGTTTGTTGTTTGTTGCTTAGGCGACAGCAGACGTCAAAGGGACGATTTACTGCGCAGCCGTCCACAGTGAAGTCATCAATCATTCCTGTCGTCTTTGTTGTTGTTGTGAAAATAACGACGATCTTCTCAACGACAAATCTCCGCTGGCTGCATCGGAGAATTAAAAAAATCGGACGAGAAAACTCTTCATCAGAACATCCTCCTCCTCCATCAACACGGATCTGTTGGCCCTAAAAAAAAAAAAAAAAAAAAAAAACTCCATTAGGGAACGGATATAAAAGTGATTTACGCCGTTCAATCAAACACTCTCCATAATCACAGAGATCCTTTCACCGCGCTCTGTCCTTGGGTTGAGATTTCTGGTTAATTATTTCTCATTGTCACAGCGCTTGTTGGTCTTCAATAGCGCCCCCACCCCCCCACGCCGAAAAACATACGGCATCTTTTGTTCATCATCAAACACAAAGGTGTGACTAAACAAAAGAAAATATAATAATGCGTCACGGCGCCCTCTGTGGAACGGAATCACTGCTGAGGCCAATGGAAAATAAAAACATTCATGCTAGGCTACGGCTAAAACGGTTAAATCTTTTGGATGAGTAAATAAACGAAATGACTTCTCCAAAATATCACGTCCTTTTATTAAATTTTTTTTATTAGAAAAATTATTATTGGTTTTATTTTTTTTAATGGGGAAGGTTTGTTTTTTATTAGGGATGGACGATATTATCGGCTAACATTATCGGCCAATATTAGCATAATCATGTGATATATCTGTAAAAATCGATAATGAAAACCAAATAATGCAATTCCTGGGTTTCGCCAAATAATGTGTGCCCTAAAATTTTTTTTTTTTTTTTACTTCTCTGGTCGAGTCCTTTGATCTTTATTTTGGTGACCGACATCCCCGTGTCGTTGCAGGCTGCAGCCAGTACGACCACTGGAGCAGTCCGTCCCTTCTCCTCCGAGCGGTAAAACCGTCCCCGGCCCAGCGCCCCCCGGTGGAGTTCATGAGAAAACAAAGGTAAGAGTGTTTGTAGAAGGTCGTTGTAGCCTAGACCAGGGGTCACGACCTTTCTGGAACTGAGCGCTACTTCAAGGTCACTCAGTGATTACGAAGAGCTACTTGTTTGATACAGACAAATTCCTGAACAAATGTCGTAATAATCAGTTCTGGGACAGACGACAGTAGATTTGAATGGAACCGATTCAAACGGCACAGTAACGGTACCATTTCTGACCCTCCTGTTGACGACGTAGACACCACCTTGGTGACCCCTGGTCCAAGCTCTGACCAGATTGTTGTGGACATTGTGATGTCTTTATGTCCAATCATAAATTCCTGTGCCTCACCCCCACTCCCCCTCTCCTCCTCCCCCCTCCTCCTCCTCACAGGTAAAAGCCTCAGAGAACAAAGGGCCGTATTCGCAGCTCACTCGTGAAGAACTGGTGTCTCTCATGATGAAGCAGGAGACGCAGCTGTCGGACAGAGACAGGAAGATATCAGAGCTGGAGGACTACATCGATAAACTGCTGGTGCGCGTCATGGAGGAGAAGCCGAGTATCCTGATGTCCCTGAACTCCCTCACCAAGGCTGTGTAGACTGAGTTCACCTCCTGTGCTCCACTGACGCTGCCTTCACCTTATTATTGTTGTTGTTACTAAATGGTCCTGATGAGAAACAAAACATATTCAATTTTTTTCCTGACTTACTAACAATCCTGATGCTGTGTCTGACTCTAATCATTATAAACGTTGTTTACATCGCTGACTTGATTTTTTTTTTTTTTCCTGTAAAGACAATCAGTCTGTTTCCTACCTTCAGTGTTGACCTGCTGTTACCTTGTAGTCTGTACTTGGCTGAAATGAGATTTCCACTGATCTTAACCAAACAGCAAACGCACTTTAAGCTTCTGATAAAAATGTTTCATATGCACTGAATTTTTCTACTGTAATCAGGTGATGTTTTATGGCATGAAGGGAAAAAATATATATAAATAAAGTCTATAAAATAAAGATAGTGTGTCTGTTGTAATTATTATTTTATTTTCATTTTATATAATTATTTGCATCTTTTAGTTAAAACTGCAAAATTCCATCATAAAACATGCTTAAAATGCCAGAAATATATTTTAAAAAATGTAATCAAAATGTTTTTTATTTATTTTAAAAATTTATTTATTTTTAATTATCGGTTGAAGAATTAATTCAAAATGACAACGTTTAAGAAACCACAAATATAATACATAAAATGAAAAAGAGATTATATATATAATTTTATAATGATTGTTTTGTTTTGTGGTGTAATAAATTAGCTTAATAAATTGTACTTTATGTAGTTGTTAATATTTTGTGTTGTGTGTAAAATACTTGAAATTGTTATTTTTTTATCAAAACCTTAATTTCTTGTTTTCGTCCCTTTATGTTTTCATTTTGTATTTATTCACTCGTTTTTCTTAAAAACTGTTTCCTCTGTCGTCGTTTCCCTCCGTTCTACAGCAGCCGGAACCCTCGGCACTCTGTCCGCTGTTTCCGGTGGGACACATTTGACACGCACTATCATCTAGAAGAAGCTGGAAAGACAGTCGTTTCTTTGACGTTTGTATAATTATGACTTCGAGTCCAATGTTTCTGCTGTAATAATAATAGGTTTCTGTGAAAAAACAAAAACAAAAACAAAATGGCTGCTCCTCCTCCGACGTTTCTGTGAAAAAACAAAATGGCTGCTCCTCCTCCGAGGTGTCCGGGCTGCGGCTCCTCCAACATCGTACAAGATGATTTATACGCCCAGGCTCAGATGGTCTGTGTGGACTGTGGTGCCGTGGTGTCTGAGGGGTCGCTGGCCGATGAACATGTCGAAGGTTCAGGTGCGAAAACAATAAGAAACGTGGGAATAAAGTGGGCTGGAAGGTGACGTTCCCGTTAGGGAAAAATATTATTTTGAAATAATTCAAAACCTGCAACAAAATATATATTTTTTAGTGGGATATTATTGTCAAAGATATGATATAATGAATAACATTTAAATTAAAAAAAATATTTGATTTGAACTACTTTATGTTAAAACATTGATTTGTGTCATTTCCAGTTCTGTCCATTTCAATCTGTTGTAGCTGAAATAACAAACTATTAAATAGTTTTGATTCACTATTAAAACAACTGCTACAACCTGGACCCAGAACCGGATGTTCTCCTCCAAACACCAGTCTGTTGAAAGAAATAATATGAGAAATTTTGCCAAAATTTGGAAAACAGTGACCAGATTTTTTTCAGAGAAAAAAAAACTGAAAACAAACGTTTTAGTTTTCAGTAAAGTTAAACATTTTTGTCAGGTTTTTTTTTTTAAACAAACTAAAACATCGCGTGATGACGAATGAAGATTCACTTAACTCTCCTAATTTACTGTAGTAAAATGATTTACCTCGGGGAGGCGCTGCTGCTCATTTTACAGCAGATTTATGTTTTATTAACTTGTTATTGTAGCTTAGAGTTTTTGGATATGAGCTGCCCCTAGTGTTCATTTTGGAGAAGACGACTGGCTGCAGCGTCTTCATGGTTTTCACTGAGCAAAATTTGAAGTCGAGTGACAAACACATTTGAATGAGGTTTAATTAGCTCAGCCCCCCCCCAAACTAATTATTTCAAGTGTCTTTTTTTTACACTGACACTTCCTTTTTTGTTACCAGGTGTGAATTTTGTCGTAGCCAGGAATTCACCCAAAAGATTATGTCCGAACCTCATAAAAGGTGAGTAACCCTGGGGACGGGACACTGTTGTGGCTGTTGTTTCTACTTACGTCTCCAAAACGCCTCCGTGCAGGTCTGCAGCGCGTGAAGGCCATCTGTCAGACCTTGAGGGTCCACGCCGGCCTCGAGAGTCTCTCGGTGAGCCATTTCAAACAGGCCTATCAGCACCAGAGCTTCATCAACGTGACGCTGCCCAAAAAGGAAATCCTGGCCGGCTGCTGCGTGCTGGTGTGCTGCAGACAGCTCAACTGGCCCGTTACCATGGGAACCATCAGCTACCTGGTGGGCGCTGAGGTGGACGAGGTGGGCGCCGTTTACCAAGAGATGATCAGGATTCTCAATGTCACCTCGCCGACTGTTTGCGTCACGGATGTCATGGCTTCACACTGTCAAGAGTGAGTGGGAAAATTTGTTTTTTTTTTTACAAACCCCCCCCGACCCCCTGACCCCCATTGACAATTAAGAAGATAATAATACAGGAGATTATCGTCTAAAATCGATTCTTACAACTTGATATAACTCGATTTTTGCCGTAAGTCCAGAACTTACGTCCCGTACGAAAGTACTGATGTCACTCACCTCATGCTAACACAGTGGTGACATCGTGTTCTAAGACATAAACACATCAGAGTTCGACTGATGCCTGGCAGCCAAAATGAAGGGCAAAATATTGTTTTCCACGTGTATTGTCACGTAACTACGTATTTGTCCGCTACTCTCACCAACCAGTTCCTGTGCGAAAAGTGTTTTAACGTTGTACGTCAGAAAGATGGAACAAGAATTTCTCAATGAATTTATGGGAAATGGCGACGGAACCGTTAAACGCCGTACGTCGAGGGCGTCATAAACCCAAGACACCTTATAATACTATAATTCTATTTTTAAAAACTTTCTCGTGTTTATGAATCAGTCTTTCAGTGTTTTTACAGTAACTCCAATTTGTCAGTGTGTAACAGTTCGCAAGAACCACAGTTCGCTACGTACCCTGGTATTGACGTGACAGACTCTGGTACGTTTACGTTACAGGAACGGTTTGAGAAGAAATGAGTTTTAAAACGTTTGATATTAACAAACAAAAGTTGCCAAATTGTCAGGTTATCAAATAAATAAAATATTTAAAAATAAATCCTTTTGTTTTGACACTCCGCTGCTCATGAACCAGCGGAGTTTGAGAAGCTTTTCGACTTGTTTTTTTTTTTTCCTCGTACCAGTCGTACTGACATTCACCTGACGTTGTGTCAAAGTTATCGTGTTTCATGTTCAACCAGCAGGATTGACGAGTTTGACTGAACAAAGACGGCACGTTTTCTTCTTCCTTTTGAAGGTTCCGACCTTCACTGCTACTGTCGCTGACTGGAGAACTCGTCTGTGCTAGCTGTGCTAATTCATGTAGAATTGGTTGAAGCAGTTGAATGAGTCGCGCTGGCAGCGATTGGTCCCATAATTACTGGGTTTCAGGGACAGTTTTACATTTGTTGCACTTTGCATTACCATGGTTACCCTTGGTATATATATATATATGTATGTATGCTGTATATTTGGCACTCTCTGGTGTGTTTGTGCTGAACATCCTGTACCCGACGGTGAGTACGAATACAAATCCATTTCTTGTTGTTGTTTTCTCCCTAAGGTATAAAATTAGTTCCCTTCATGTTCCTGAAGAACTGGCAGAGAACCCAGCGGAGCTGACCAAACGAGCCGTGTCTCTGGTGGAGCTGGCGGCAGGTTCCTGGATTGTGG